TTCCATGACTGGATGGATACAAATTTCTCAATTCTTGTCAGTGCTTGCACAATTAATTTTAATACATTCATTTTATCTGGAACTTGGAGAAGGTGACTGCATCATTCAGATTATCTAGAAGATTGCGTTGGCTAGTCCAGCATGCCTGTGCAGGTAAACAGAATTCTTGCTGTGTGGGAACAAACATTTAGTGGAAACTTCCTTTGATCTGCATTTAAGCAAAACCTGCCTAGCATGTTCTCAAAGATACTCCTTGAAGTCTACAATACTGCACAAAAAGACATTTGGACCGAGGGTGAAGTGTAGTTCAGAAAAGTCTAGGGGTGAAAACACAGGGGTCAGATCTTGGTTGTACTGAAGTTTAAAGGCAAAATAAATATTAAGTTTAGGGCCAGGGTTTCCCTGGATCAGCTGATGGGACTTGTAGCTGCAGGGTGTGCCTCCTGTAGCTAAGAGGCCAGATCAGCTGATGGGACTCTTAGCTGTGGGAGATGCTACTTGCTGGTGCAGGGGGAGATGGGGATTGCGATACTGGGTTCCCCCTGCACTGGCAATAAGGCGTGATGGCATCTGATAATCCCACAATTATGCCTCCTGCCATGCGTTTGAGGCATAGCAGAAAGCATGATTGTGGGGATCACTCATCAGATCCCATGGTGCCTTTACTTTTCATGTCTGCAGGGGGCCCTACAGGAAACTCCAGTTCACTCTGTTATGCCTCGTCATTTTCCCTGTAAAGATGTACTAAATGACCAAACATTAAACTATTGGACAAATTTGGCCCAAATACTATATTTTATACGCAGTTTATATAGTGAAGTTTTCTGATTATAGTGAAATTAAAATATCATAGTCATAGATTTAACATACTATCTGGTTATGGAGTCATTTTCAAGGGGAGAAAATCTGTATCTGCTATTTTTCCTAGTTCATAAATTCCTTAACACAATGGGCCCATACTGCAAATTTATGGAAATTCAGAAGTGGCTTTTCTAAAAGTAAAAAAGTTAAACACAACTGAAGCTGTTAATTTGCATGTCTGAGGTTTTCACTTCCTCTTTTTTTGCTGATCAAACTATAAAACTGCAAAGTTGGTATGGCAACAGTAGGCCCTTTTATGAGGGAGAGAATTGTCAGTATGTCAAAAAATTGACATAAAAAGTCTCTCAAGTTGAAATATTAACTGTATATTTTTAAACCCCTGAGGAGCTCTCATGTTAAAAAGCAACCATAAAATCCAAAGTAACCAGATAAGCCTTCCCTCTTACCTACCAACAGTAACATACAGGCAAAATATGTTCAACAAAAGAAAGTTTGCTTTTATGAAGTTGGGAAAACAAGCTCTAACAACAGGGCCCCGAAAATCTTCTCCAGAGCTTTTAGAGTATAGTAAAGTTATTTTTTTTTTTTTTCTTTAGGGAACTCATTTGCCCTACCCTGTTTCAGCAGATGTGAGTCAGCATCCTGTCCAGAGCCATTTGCTATATGATTCCCTGCTCTGAAGTGCAAGCACACATTTTTTCATTAAATGCCAGAGCAATGAATAGACTTATTCCATCCGCAGAGTATGTGAACAAGAGCACAATCATTTGTGGGTTCTTTTTCTTGAGCCTGAAAACTTTATTTGCTGGTTTCAAATGCCAGGATTTTTTTAAAGTGTCTATTTTACTAAAGACTGGCTGAATGCTGCAGAGACTCGCTTGCTGGCTTGGCAAAGGTTGAAGAGCTCAGGGAACCTTTGAGTGTACACTTTTTATGTTGGGGAAAACAAATTCTGTTAGAAAATAGTCCTGCTTAAAAACATGTTACTAGGTTATAGCCAACTTTTTGAAGAACCACCAGTTAGTTTGCCTTCAAATAAGATTGGCATTTTTTGTAGGATAACAAGCCAATGTAAATTAAAATATGTCAGTTAATATGGTTTTGAATGCTGATATTAGGCTATTATCCAAACTCACTTTTGGAACATTAGTTGTAATCTAATACTCTCCCAAGAATAGAGATGTCACACAGCTTTGATATTACTTCAGTGAAATTTGTGGCTTAGTTTAAGGGTTAAGAAATGCAGCCTTCCTGCCTCAAACCTTCAGATGACTGAGAAAGGAGAGTTTAGACAGTTGGGTGCTAGGACAGTAGAAATCAAAGATGGGTGATTAGCAATGGTGCAGGAAGAGGGATGTTATCTTTGCCATGCAGACAAGACAAGAAGTGAAAGTTGGAGTAGTTTCAAAAGTATGGAAACCTTTTCTACATAATTTTCACTTGAACCAGACTGCTTGTAATTATTATGAAGTGGGAGGAAATTTGCAAAAGATATAAGAGAGAGAGTTGAATTTGCCTGGTAGATGAGCATGTTCTAATGTTGCTAATAGGTTGTGTGCGCTACAGAGCTGCTCCTGCCATAGCTGTGTTGGCATAGTAATGTTATCAGAGACACCTAGCCTAAATGCGGCATATGCTGGCAGAAGCCCTCTTCTGTTAGCATATCAGCATCTGCACCAGGTATTTTGCTGGCCCAACTACACAGACCATGGGGTGTGGTCTTTTCCAATGCCTAATCAACTATCTGTGCCAGGAAAAAATTGTAGTGTAGATCAGAATAAGTAACAGCATGGGATTGTCAATTAACCTTTTTTTTTTTTTAAGTGTAATTTGAAAAAGTGAAAACATTGAAGCGGGGAAAATGGCCGGTGTTCAAGGGAACTCCCTTGGGAGCTTCAGCTCACAGACACTCTGCTTAATTATCCTAAGACACTGGCCCTTTCACTTGTATAATTGATAGTATTCTCCTCCAAGCAGCTTCCTCATGTCTGATGCTGCTTCTTAGTAAGCTTCTTTACTGAGCACTTAGTGAGGTAAATAATTTAGAAAAATTACACAGAAAATGATTCTCATGGATGCTTGCCAGCGAGTAGATAAGTTCTGTTGATCACTTCTGTTCTATTCTTTGGTTTCTGATATTCATTGCAGACACCATTGCTGCCCTATAATATGCAGAAATGTGAAGGAAGCTGTGTCTTGATACTGGTTTGGAAAATTACAAACTTCAAACTTTATTTTTTTTAAATGTGGTATCTAAATTAGAGCAATTCTGTTCACATACAATTCCCCAATAATAAATTCACATTTTGCCCTTCTAAGCCCCAGCTTCTCAAGTAGAGGATAAAACTATAAAATGCTTGCTTAAAAAGAAGCCAGATGATTATCAGAACCAGCATCAAGTAAAAACTTAATACCAGAACAAGGAACCAAATAAAAAGCTTGGTATTAGAACATAGCATTATGAAAACCTTTCTGGCCACCCTGCATGGTTGTCCATATGCTACAGTTACTGGTTTAAATTTTAGGAGTACATGGTATCTGGATATTTGGTACAGCTGTGGCATTCTGCTTCTGTCTGTCTGGACCTGCCAGTCAAGCACAGCTATGGGTAACCGCTGTTGTATATGTAATACATAGAGGTGCACCGATACATTGGTCCATAGTGTATCTGCACTGATAAAAGGAAAATTTGACATTATCAGTAATCAGCTTTTTTTGGCTCAGGGCAGGTGGCAGCACTGGCGGGGGGGCCTACCACCCCATAGGCTTCCCTCCCAGCGCTGCCACCGCCCACCGCAAGCACAGCCCTGGCTCAGCCCCCGACTAGGAAGAGCCTGGTGCTGCCCCAGGCCCCAGCCTGCCTTTGCCCCATGCACAGATCTGGGGGGCACATGCCCCCCATTGCTCCCCTGGGAGTGCATTCAGTGGCAGGAGATGCCCCCCTCTCCCTGCCAACGAGCCACTCACAGCTCTGTTCTGCACCCAGCCCTGCTCCCTTCCTCACTGAAGGAGCTTTGAACTTCCCCACACCTTTTGGAGTATGAATTCTACAAATTTGATCATGAATGCACAACCTAATTATTGTATTTGGATATGTGATAATCAGTTGTTTATAATCTCATTGATTAGCAATGTAGAAGTATTTCATAGACTCTGATCAACAGAGATTTCAGCTTTTCCTGTTGGTTAGGGAAAGGGTTATGGGCCTGATACCAAATCCAATGAGAACTGTGGCAGCCGACTTGGTTGGGCTTTGGATTTGTCTTATAGAAGTGTTCATTTGCAAGACAGAAGGGTGAGAATGCCTTTGGGAAGGTTGATCTGTACTCTCACATGACAGGTCCTATAGCAGAGCAGTGTCAGCTACCAGGTATTTAAGGGCTTGGAATAGTTTCTGTTAGGAGGCTGGATAATGTGACTGTCAACAACAATACATGCAAATGATCTCTTTGCACTCAGGGTGTAATTGCATTTTACATACATGGATCTAGAAACTTTCGTTTAGGATGCTACTGAGCATTTTACTCTTCTGTAGTGTAACTATTAAACAAAACTGGAGAATCAAGCATCCAAATCCCCTAGGCAACCTAGAAAACCTCATAACCCCCTATCCTATTGATGATTTCTGGAAGGCAGTATGATTAATATGATTCCCTCAGTAAATATCAAAGATACAAGACCCTTTTGCCTGTGGGCTGCTGAGAAAAGGGAACATAGTGGCCTTTGTACTCATTGTTCTGTTTGGAGTATAGTTAAGTGCCCAGAGTGATCTGGAAAAACAACTGATTTAACAAGAAGCCTAATTTAAATCATTCTGTCAAAATTTCACAAGTGGACTGTAATGCATTCCAGTTCCCGTTTATTCTACAGGCAACATATTCATGAATATCGTAGTAGGATACTGTGTGACTTGTATTCAGTCAGAAAATAGAAGATAAAAGTAGCATGTCAGTTGCAGTCCATTTGTCATACAAGTATGCAGACCTTCATTAGCCATCTCTCTGAAAATGTGGACTGCAATTGGCTACACTTATTCTGAAGGTGTGGCGTGCGGGTGTTGCTGATGATCCTTACTGTGGATGTTGCATATGCTACATTTCAAGTGTGTTAAGCTGTGTTAATAATGGAAACCAACATGAGGGGGAATTTTCCATAACCTTTTGCTTATGTCTTAATAGGTGTGGATGAGGTCACCATCGTCAATATTCTGACAAACCGCAGCAATGAACAGAGGCAGGACATCGCCTTTGCCTATCAGAGGAGAACTAAAAAGGTATAGGGACCATCCCTACTTTTAAATTGTTCAACACCTTGTGACTAGATTTGAGGTGAATTGTCCTGCTGTTAGAGTTAATTGAACCCAGCCCTGTGTTGGGAGGGAAAGGGGTGTAGCTTGGTTAGGGGGAAGGGGCATGGCCCAGCCCCAATCCAGCCTTTTGGATGGGGGGAAAGGCATGTGGCTTGACCCTGTGGGGGCAGGAGGTGTGATCCAGCCCCAGCCTGGCCCCATGGAGGGGAATGATGGACATATTAATGGCCACAGCTCCCCCACTGCCAAATTTCCTGCCCAGTGAGGAGCCCCACAGGCCAGGTGCCATGGCTCCATGGGCTGCATTTGGCCCAAGGGCCAGGAGTTGAGCAACTCTGCTCTAGGAGTATCGTGGGGAAAACTCCAGGCATTGACCCCTGGAAAGCATGATGGTCTGAGTACTTCCCCACCCCTGGTGGTGTTTTGACAGTAATGCAATCTCTAAAAGGTGAAGGGTCTACTTGGACCTGAATACCTCTGTCCAGGGACATTTGTGAACTGGATCGCCCATCAGTGACATTCTTGGAACTGCTATGTCTGTCTGCACCCACAGGTTCCTATTGTATACAAGTACAGCGCGCCAAGTTGAGAGGCTGTTTACACTTTGCTTCTCACAGGAAGAGGTGCTAATGCCACTTAAAGCAGCAGCTTTGAAAGCTGGTTGAGGAAAGGGAGGAGGGGCAGTGAGTCATGGCATGTCCTGCTGAGGCACCCTGAAGTAGCAGAGTTCAGCACGAGTTGGAGAGTGCCCTGAGGTGGCGGAGCAGTAGTCTACCCAGGGATATTGGAGGACCTGGCCAAACACTATCACACTGTGTGTGATATGCCACCACATTCAAATTAAAGTTTGATAGAAACCAGCTGCACAAATGTTCTACATTTTTCAGACATCTTTGTGATTGACCATTTTTATGGCCATTTTTATTGTGTGATAATTACTTTGCATACGTAGCATGTCTAAATTTATGGTGTAATTAACCATTTAATTGCAGGGTAGATGTAACATTTGTCAGGGGCCTTATTAACAACAGCTCTTACATCATTGCTCCCTGCTCCCAGCAGTTAGTACCCGTGCGCCTGCTTCCAGAAATGATGAGTATGCACATCTGTAAATTAAATCAATGTAAGATGGAGAGTCTTAGCACATCAAGCCAACTGTCTTGCAACCAGCCAATCATGATATTGTAGATATAGTTTTAAATGGTATCAATTTTGTATTTTCTTGAATAGGAAGCAAAATATATGCTTCAGCTTGCAAGAAACTTTTGTTCATATGATGCCTGAAGTTCTGAGAACTAGTGGGAGAGAGAGGGTCTGGGGTATCTGTATGTTAATATGCATCAGCAAAAAGAAATTTCATTTACAAAGTCAACCTAAATGACTGGCAATCAGCTGTGCAGTGAATCATGCAGATACTGAACAAAGTGAACTCACTAGCTGAATTATCACTAGATATTACCCTGTCAAGAATATCCAGTTTACCAATCTTTTGATAAAAAGAAGCTTATAAAATATGTAGGTCTATCCATAAAATGAGCTTTGCTCACAGGGTGTCAAGAGATGTTCTCTTGAACAGTTTTAAAATCTTACTGTAATTGAAGTTTTATGTCAACATAAAAGAAGAAAAGTATGCTTAGAGTCCAATTAGGGTTGTGATGAATGCATTTCTTTCAAATTTGTCAGCCACCAACAGGCAGCCCTGTAATCTCAGTTAAAACTAAATACAAATCCAGAGGCAAATTTGTAAAATTCTCAATTCTTTTTAATACATGTTTGATATAGGTACACATTGTATTCAAGGTAGTACGTACAAGTTGACTACAGAGGTACACACAGTAACTAATCTATACATGGGGATGAATGGACTCAACCACCCATCCCCCAGACTGAGAGCAAATCCCATTAGGGCAGTTTTGCACATAAACTGGGCCCTGCTGAAGCTATGTTTAAAAATACACTCAAGGAAAATTCTGGAGCATTTTTTTTATCAAATGTTCCTGCCTTTGCTTATCATCCTTCCCTCGCCTAACCCAAAGGCATGCTAAATATTCCAAAAACTATAATTTGGAATCCATACAGTCTTTGGGATTGTATAGGTACGAAAGTCTAAAGCAACCTCAGGAAACAGTGAGTGCAAAGCTTCCAGTGCAACTGTGATAACAAATGAGTAGGTGGCAAAGGAGCAGGAAATGGAATGTGGCACATCCTGTCTGATGAAGCAGGGCTCCCCCCCCC